GAGAGAGAGAGAGAGAGAGAAAAGAGAGAGAGAGAAAGAGGAGAGAGAGAGAGAGAAAAGAGAGAGAGAGAGAGAGCGCGCTTTTTCCTGCCTAATTTTGGTGCGCTGGACTTTCCTGCTATGTTTTGGGTGTGGTACAAACTTGTCTGCTTGGTTTTGGCTGCCTTCATGCCAGGTTTTCAGTGTGGTGACCACTTTCCTGCTGGTTTTGGTGTGCAACTCTTGGGTGTGGTGGCTACTTTCCTGCCTGGCTTTGGTGCGGTGGCTACTTTCCTGCGTGTTTTTTTGGATATGTTGTTGATGGATGGACAAAAAGAGGGGTGTGTTAGCCAGCAGAATGCCAAGCCCGAGCTTCCCCCAAAGGAACTGACGCAAAGGAGGTCTGACAATGCGCAGGTGGCCAAGACCTGCAAAAAGCTGGTGGATAAGTTGGAGCCATTGTTGAAGACCTGTGCCAAGGCAACGAAGTCAAAGATGGCCAAGGAATCCTTCAAGAGCCAGGTCAATGGAGCGAAGACGGTTCTCAAAGCTGCCAAGACGGTCCAGGGTCCAGGGTAAGTACAAGGCGAAGACTTGGAAGCCCTGGAGTTCTTGCATACTGAGGAGCAAACCAATGACTTGATGGCAAACTGTAATTGAAAAGGAATCTCAGTTGCCTTGAGACAATGAACTCTTTGATGGAAGGAGGCATGGACAGAACCGACACATCGGTGAGAACCGACACATGTATTAACAGGCACTTGGAAATTATCCGCTGCGTTTTCCACTGCAAAGTCTTGATGTTTCAATTCGCAGCAGACGTTGAAGGCGGGGCTGAGTGGAAGTTACACTGTTTATAAGCCTATTTTTGGGGATTCTGCCCTGTAAGAGCGGGAAAGGTACACAAAATGATGGAGCCTCCAAGAAAGTATAATTAAAAAAACAAGTACTTCCACACAGATACGCAACGTCCCGCACGGGCATCGCCGGTTGGCGAAGCCTGTCAGTTCTATTTTGGGTGGCTCACGAGAGGTCTGCGCCGTTGGATTGTCATTTCCTCCTCCGAGTTTTACCCTCTGGTGGCTCGCAAAAGGTATGCACCGTTGGATTGGCACCTTCGTCTTCTAAATTATGCCCTCGGGTGGCTCACAAAAGCTGACATATTGTCATGCTGAGTGCTGGCATCGCACACTCGTCAAGAAGCTTTTCAGCCTTCCAACTTGCACGTGTACAAGCGAGGCGTTTTTCACCCGCGTGCACAAGCGAGTGCGCCAGTGAAAACAGCAGTAGTATATAACACACTCCATGGGACTGGAATATATGCCGATCAATTGACCCCCCTGCCACCACCCCAACTGACCGGCATATATGCCAGTCCCATGGAGCGTCTGTGTATGGAGTGCCATCGTGCAAGCGCGTCGGGTGTCGGATTTGATCGGATTCGGTGCCTCCACCGTACGGGGGATGAAATGAGTGTCTCATGAATCATGAATCATGACACCCCCTAGGGCTCCAAGTACCTTCTGAGAAGGTGGGACTGGGGTGGGTTTGGAGGGTCCAAACACCTTCTGAGGAGGTACTTTGGAGCCCTAGGGACCTGAAAACCACTCGACTGGAGTTTTTGAGAGGAAAACCATCTTCCAAAGTGAACACCGCCATCGTTCCAGGGTTCTATAGCCTTCCCCGGTGTACTTTCACCCTTGTCCACACTGTTGCCTTCCCAGCTGCTCCAAGAGTGCGGCAACTGCCTCTGGAGAGCCGCAACGACTGGCGTAGGTGAGAGCTGTCCAACCTGCAACGGTGCCGACGGGTTCCTCGCCGTCGTGGTCGACCGGGGGTTGGGGTGTTCACAGCCTGCCGCCCCACGCTTGGTCCAGTCTCCTGGTCAGTTCCTGAGCTCCGTTTAAGAGTATAGGTAGTGAAATAGCATCTTTTCTATGAGCAGCTCCAGTCTTTCATGAGGTCATTGGACTTGATCGTCGGACATGGTGCGAGCAGTCGGGCTTATCCCGTATTACTACTCCATCCTTCTTCACCTCACAGGTGGGATCACCGTGGCTCCCAAACACAACCTGAAAGCAAGCACCCCTGGCCTGATCAACATATATTTGTTCCAGTCCCACCTGTCGTGTCCACGGCCTTTTGGGAGGGATTCACTAGTCGGACTTCCCCACTACGTCCCTACCAGCCTACGTACTGCGTCCCTACCGTGGGCTGAGGATCACCCGGACCCGTCAAAGCAGGTGCCACCGTCAGTCTTGAACTTAAGGTAGTTGGATCTATGAAATCCCTGGATATCCCTGGCGAGTCAAGGACTATACAAAGAACGGTCTTTCTTTAGATCTGAAAGGGAAGGTCCGTAATACTGAAGACTGAGGGAAAGTATAGTCTTTGGACTTCCAGGGAAATACTAGTGCAGGGTTAGTGGGAATACCTTGCACATAATGTTGAATTCTAAACAGGGTGTGGGAATACTCGTGCGAATTGTATGCAATTTTATGATTCCCTCCGGATTCAAATACATATAGGATTCGACATCAGTCCTATTATGAGTCTTATCCAATTGAATGTCATATTCTATGAGACTGCTGGAAGGGACAAACATCTCATGAGTCTTCTCGTGCTGGCCTTACTGGATGTTACCGCATTGACAACACATCGGGGGGTTGGTGATGACAACACATCGGTTGTGCTTCTGAACTTCGACGGAACACATGAAGACATGCACTTCTGCTGTACCTGGACCCGACTTCAACGCTTCCGTCGTCCCTTAGCTCATCGGACGTCCAGAAGAACGGTATTTCGAATATGACCGTCCCCTGTTCCTCAGGTCGACGACCGGGTCGACTTCCCAACTCCAGGAGTCCTGAACTCACGTCCATTTCCCCGATTTCCAATGGTCGGGTCGTGTCTTCCTGCTTCCTGGACCCCAACTGTTCCGACAAAGGCACCATCCCGGTCCGCCAGGTTGGCATTCGCCTGTGCGGTTTCGCAGGGGCCGGCGCGATCGGCGAGCCCGGCAGAAAGGGTGCCAGCTTGCCAGGGTGCCGGTTCCGAACGGAGGAGGTCGGGGTGGCCCCTGTCACATCCCCCTTTGTGACTCTTTGGCAACATGTTTTGCACGGTTGTTGTTTTTTTTGTTCTTTTTTGAGGGGGGGAAGTGTATATCAAAAGGCGATTCCGCAGGTGATCCAGGGACTTCCTTGGGTAGGATGAAGCGATCCTTTGCTTTGAGCCCCCGTTTTTCCTTCTGCCGCATCTGTCGAGCAAATGGTAATCATCCTCGGTCATTGCGGCCCAATGCTGAAAACCCAGACACTCGAGACTGCCGCCCCATGACGCCCCCGGTCACCACCTCAACTGATCGGCATATTATATTCCAGTCCCAGACGGGTCGCGTCTGGGATATAGGATCTATGCCCTGGGAGTCAAGTCGACTCTAAAAAGAATGGTCTGACTAGGGGACCTGAGTTCGGGAACTTCCTGAAACCTTCAGCCGGTCAAAATATAGTCGAACTGGACTTCTAGGGTATGTGCCAGCTTCTTCAGTCGACCAAACTTTGCAGTCCCATCCAGTGACCTACACTGAAAAAGGTCTGTTTTGAGACCGAACCCAGCAGGGGATTACTGTAAGTTTGGTCACAAACTGAAGAACCAGGTGACGCAAATATCAATGTACTTGTTTTGTCAGTAACTTGTAACTCGATCCTTTGAAAATCCCTTCGGTGGTTCTGTTCGAGTATGAAGTATGGTGTCCACCTGGACCCGACTTCAAGTATACTTTAGACAAGAGGACATGCCTCTATATAAAGAACTGCGGTCTTGTAGCCATTTTCCGAGGTACGACCTGAGACTGGACTCCAGGTATGTTCAGAAGCCGAAAGTCAGTTCTCCCCCCCGGTCCGCTTCGGACCCCCCCCACGTCTCCCCATCGATCCGCGCATGGCTTCAGGGCGGGCCCTGGGCCTTGCAGCTCAAGAGGAGTCGCATGGCACCGGTGCATCCCCTCGAGGCCGCGAGCATCAGCGCCGTCACTCCTGACCGTTCGCTTAAACACGCGCGCGCTCCAATCGGCGCGCGCGAAGGACCGGACCGACGGGCGATGTCGAAGTCAGTGCTTCGGGTGTGCTGCGCTCCGACCTCCATGGGACTGGTATTCCCAGACACGAGTATATAATGGATTATAATGGGACTGGTATAGGACTGCCGAGAAACGGCCAGGGATGGTTGAAAAGGGGTCAATGTAATAGTATATGTAAATAATATGCCATACATGGAGTGTCTGGGATTGATGGCATTGATAATAGACATTTGACCTTAGACCTCTAACCACTCCTGGCCTGCTTGGCATGTGTTTCCAGTCCCAGGGAGTGTCTGGGTATGAAACCCTCAATGATCCTCGCACTCATGATGGTGCATGTTTGTTAGACCTTTGAGTTCTCTCGCGGAGGAGAGACAGAGTGTTCTGCAGAAACAAACAGGAAGAATTAACCAAGATAGGAGCTCCAAAGAATTCAAACACACGAGCTGTCGGGGACTGGAGTATCTGCCGTCGAACACTATAGACCTCAGAAGTGCCAATTAATCCATGCACCAGGGGTCACAAAGGGGTGGTGTTTAGTCCCATCCAGTGAGTGGATGTTCTGGGCACCCCTGACCTCCAAGTTCGGCACCCCTTTGTGACCGCTGGCATGTGAAAACTATAATTCACTCTTGGCACTCAGTCAACGAGCATCGAGCTCTCGAGCTGACTGGTGAGATCCTGACCACTCAGAGAGGTCAAATGGCTGTCACTAACAAGTCCAAAGACCTAATGTAAAACCTGGATTTTTACCTCCTTGAGTAATGTTTTTGCACAAACAACTGCAGCAAAATGATCGAGGTCCTTGACTTGTAGGGCACCCAGGACGCCAGGACCAACACAAACGCAGGAACCCGGAAAATCACCATCCCCTAGATGCGGTCAAACACATCACTCCAAATTACTGGAGTCAATCAAAAGAAAAACAACCAGCTTCTTCAAAGTGACTGACCTTTTTGGAGTCTCTAAGTGACCTTTTACAGGCCTAAGTGACCTCAAACCCAGGGATGAAAAGGTCACTTTGAAGAACCAGGAAGAAGGTTTGAAAGACCAGGTTTAGTTTAGCCAGAACTGCGCTGTAGGAATCACAGAAACCGCCACACCCACACCCGATCTGAAAACGTCCGTCACTCGGCCTCCAGCGCCGAAGGTGTTCACGTCCACCGCGCTCTTGGCCAAGATCTCCCGCAATGAACGGAGGTATTCCTAGCGATGACACGGATGGCCCCTCAGCACCCGACTAAGCCTAAGCCTCCAAAGGCGGTGGTGACCTGGGAGATTTGGGGTGCAGGCATGAAAGCCAACTTACAAAGTTTCAAGAGGCGATGAAGAATGGGTGGTGACCACCTCATATCTGCTGGTACGATGACAACAAGTTGTGCAGCAGCCAGCAACATCCAGCAACTGAGCACGAGCATGGACCTCCAAACCCCATCCAAACTAGCATGGACCTTGATGTGGCCGCTGCGTCGCACAGAACCACCTCTGTCTGTAAGAGTCCTTTCCTCTGACCTTGTCGCCACCGCGTCCTCGCCTGCTCCGCGGTGTACAGAAGCGCATGGGGACAGTCGTACTCCGAGGCCGATGGCAAGGGCGCCACGTCGATGCCCGTGACGCAGTCCTGCGGTCTCATGCCGGTCTCCACCGCTCGTCCGGGAAGTCGGGGGATGCACCGCTGGGAAGTCGATGTGTGTGGTTGGGGGGTACTGGGGAAATCAAGGATTGGGGCAGGACGTGCTGAGATGGGGCTGAGCTTCAAGGAACATGAGTTTCTGAACACGAACAAGCTTGGCTATGTCCTTGCTTGGACATTTAGCATATTTACCGATCAGTTGGGGTGGATGAGAACGGGTCCGGTCAATGTATAATTAAATATACAAATCAGTCCCATGTGGAGTGTCTGGGTCTTGTTGGCACTTTTGGGTCTTGAGTTGATGAAGGAGTTTGTCCTCTTGTGCGGAAGATCCAGCGGCCAGTCGAGTCAACGACTGCATCACGTCTGTTCTACGGATTTGATTCAGGAACCGGCACACCTTCTAATTCCCCATGCCAGGGGATCGAAACCCCAGGAACCGGGAAGAATTTGATATCACCCTTTCTCCGCAAGACCACGGAAGACCATATTTGGGGGTTGGTTGGTTGCAATTGGTTGGTTGGTTGGTTGGTGGGTGGGTGGGTTGGTCGGCTGGTTGGTTGGTCCAGTACTGTAGTTCTCACACCAGACGGTTCTTGCAGGTGATCCACTCACATGGGTATAGGGTACCTGGACCCTCCATACTGGCGCGCGCTTGTGGCCCGAATTCGGAGGTGTCCTCAATCCCCCCCCGAATTTTTGGTGTTTTGGCAGGTGATGATCAATTCACCTTCTTCCTGGACTCGACTTCAAGTACCTTAGAACATATAGGACTTGTGACATGACCCAGCCCCGGCCTATCCAAAACAGGATCTGCGGCCTCTTGTTCCGAGGTATGACTGGGTCGACTCCAAGTGTCTAGCACATCGCGGCCATTGGGTCTCTCCAACCCTCGACGATATGCCCGGGAACACCGGCTGATGACATTGGAACCTCTAATGGGCGATTCTTGGTCTGAAGCCAACATGTTATACACACCATGCCAGATGCCATTTGGCCAATTGATGGGCAGTCTGGCTGTTGCTTCCCATTGATTCCTCTTAAAGCCCATCGCTTTTCGTCTCTTTTTGGTTCCTTCTTTGGTCTTCCAGTCACCGGGCCGCTCCTCCAAACCTTGGTCCGACCACGCGCTTTCCCCCCCAACGCGCCCCGCCAACGCGCCAACGGTCTCATTCGTCTCCGTCTCCGCTCTCCTTCACGCCGCTCGTGTGCGGCTCATCCAGCGGCTTCACACGCAAGCCATCGATGTAGAAGCCCATGGGCGCTTCGAAGGGACCAAACAATTCGCCCTGTGACGGGCACATCGGGAGGCACATCGCGGCACGTGGGGCGGCGGCCCGGGTCACAGGCCTCACGACAGGTGATATACCTGGAACTTCGTTACGGCAATAATAATTGCCGTTTTCCTGAAACGTCGCCTTTTTCCGTTCTGCGGCGTTCTTCCATATTGATCTCATGGGGACGGCGTTTCTTGATGAACTGCGGCAGCTTCGGTCAGTTGACGGCAATTTTGGTCCACACATCCATGCGCCTCAAAGAGTCATTTCGTTTTAGTTTTAGTGCAGGCGAGTATGAAAACATTGTAGGGTCTTGCTTGAAAGGCAACTGAACGTAAAAGGCGTCTTATTATATCAGCAAACTCGCATAGTCATGTGAAGTGGAAAGGGCAGCTGATGGAAGTGTCACATGCTGGGTTTTCGTCGGTTTTCGCGGATAACTTGACCTCTTGCGCGGCGTTGCAGAAGATTTTGCGTTTAAAGTTACGGCGTTCTTACCCGTACTTGCGGCGTTTTTCCCCGTACTTACGGCGTTTTCCCCCTACTTACGGCGTCGTTCCCTTACCCTGTCTAGGGTCACTCAAGGTGGCAGCAAGACTTGTCACAACATGTCACAAGCGATCCTTTCAGCCATTGCATGATCAAAATGTGAACAAATCCTGCCGTGATGTCAATCAAGACCTTAGACAAGGGCTGCAACATCTTGAGAAGTGCTACCATGAGGCTTGACAACGATGAGCTCTACTAAAAGGAGAAGGCAATTTCAGGGTATGGACGGACCAAAACAATATCCTCTTTGGTAGATCAAGCAAAACGGCGATTCTTCTTTTGTGACGGCGTTTTCACTTCTCTGACGGCGTTTTCGCTTTCCAGGGATTGAGCTACGGCAGAAAAAATGAGTTACGGCAAAAATTATTGCCTCAACAGCCTACGGCAAAAATTATTGCCTCGGGAGGGTCTAGGTATCTGAGGGATCAGGCCTGAAGAATCCCTAGGGCATCATCAAAAGAAATGCATGACAACTCCAAACAAATCCCCCGGGGGCCAACCTTGGGCTGACCATGAAAGCCTGGGGGAAAGCGCAAAAGTGGCGCAACTATATACACGGGCACCCCTGCCCAACACTGTACAAGGGAGACAGACAGAAGGGGCACCGATGCGGAGAAAATCTAGCAGGAGAAGGGGCCACCCAAGTCCCTCAACCTGGGCGGCATTGGCAAAAACCTAAAGCCCCAGCCGTCCAAGCAACCACGGCTTGCCCCAGTTGTTGGAAGCAGGGACTTGCAAAAAGGGTTCAGAGGCCCATGAGGGGAACGCACCCGGAAAAGAGCGGCATCACCCACGCCCCTATGCAGAAAAAGCCAGGCGAGGGTAAACCAAGGGCACGATCCCCGAACTGGCAGATGGAGCGAAGAAAGCATGGCCCGCCACTCTCAGGAGTCGAAGTGCTGCACAGCATCCATTCCAGTTGCCAGGGCCAGCCCCGTCCGGCGGCGAAGCACAGCTCGAGCCCGATGCGTACGTGCAATCACGCACATTTCTTGCAAGAGGCGGCTGTGAAGTTGCGAAACATCCTGGCCTGTTCGAAGAGCCACAGCTCCCGAGATCCTGCGGAGGAGGGAAGCGGCCTCCGCCTCCCATGCGCCAGTTGTTTCCAAGACCAGCGGTCGGAGGTTGCTGCCGCAGTGGCCACTGAGCCAGCTTCGCTGAGGCTTTCCGACCGCAGAGGCGCCGTAACGGCGAGGTCAAGGGCGGTGGGAAAGCCAGCAAAGGCTGGGAGGAAAATGTCTGCAGGCCGTTTGGCGGCCACAGTCTCGTCTGGTCGGTGGGGTAAGAGAAGCCCAGGCTTCTCTTTTTCAGGCTTCAGCCCAGCCAGGTCAGCCCATATATGAACAAGTGATCACGCAAAGGGCATTGTGCCGCTGGACGCGCTCACCCCCAGCCACACAGCTGGCAGAGTGGTAGGAGAACTTGTCCAAGACCGCATCACATTGGGGGCACCATCCATCGCGGGCAGCCTCGGTCATGCCCAGGCGTTGGCTCAGTTCGGTGATGAAGAGGGCTGGCTCCATTCGCGTTCGTCCACTTGGCGCCGCGGCTAGGAACGCGCGAGCTCCCGCCTCAGCTTCAGATCGCAGGATGGCTTGGGCGGCCAAGGTGGAAGACGCTAGTTGTCGTGTCCAGGACGCCCGGTCCAGCTGCTGGGTTAAAGCTTTTTGTTTCATCCCGAGAGCTGTCGCCAAAGTGAGATTCTCGGATGTGCCGAGCTGGCTGTTGTAGATGGCCAAGGCCGAAGCGGCGTGGCTGTCTGCCACCAGTGTGTATAGGTCCCATCCAGTTCTACGCACGCTGTCGAGCTGCCTCCAAGTGAAGCCAGGTAGGCCGCGGCGCTGTCTTCAGCTGCGCTCCGGAGGCCCAAGCCACCAAAGCCTGGACTGCGGGAGGCTTGCTCCCATTGTTGAGGTTCAGGGTGTAAACCAGTGAAGGCTTGGAAGCAGCTGCGAACCTGTACGTCGAAGTGGCGGAGGGCTTCTTGCTGTGGACCTGGCGGGGCACAGCGAAGGCTGTGGAGCAGCTTGGAATGCCCCGCAGCTGTTCGCAAGAGGCGGAGGCCAACTTGAGGGTCATGGATGTCAGCAACCGCATCCAAGAGTTGGCTGGCCCCCGTCACCCGTGAGGCTGTGTGCTGGGCGCAGAAGGCGTCGTCGCCGACTGGTGCCCCAAGGAGTTCGAAGTGCTTGGCAACCCGAGTGCACCCACTGTGATCTTGCAAAAGCTCTGGGGGGAAGTATCGTTGAAGGACTGTAGCTGGTGCGCCAGCCATCGCAATCACCTCTGATTTGCGGAGGTTCAAAGTAAGCCCGAGGGCGGCAGCCCGTTGCTGCAGGTGGAGCAAGGCTGCTGACACCGCCGCCACGTCGCCTGCGAGGACCCCATCGTCCAAGTAGAACATCCCAATGTCGAGGCCACGCCGAAGGTCCTGAGCGAGGCTTTGTATGGCTGCCGCGAAGAGGAGAGGTCCGAGCGGGTCGCCCTGCTGCACGCCTCCAGCTGAAGCCAAGGTGCCACCGCCAAAGCGCAGCCCACTGGGTTGGCCGTAGCACCACCAGGCCCACCGAGAGAGGGTGGGGAAATCGGTCTCCACTGCATCCAGCACAGCCTTGCGGCTGATCGTGTTGAAGGCGTTGTGAAAGTCCAGCTTCACCAGCACCTTCTGTTGACAGTTGTTGCTGCGGTTGGCCCAGGCTCGGACCGTATGGACCGCCGCGTCAACCCCAGCAGGGACACAGACTCCAGTTTGCACGGGCCAGAAGTGCCGCCGGGCGTCAGGCCGTATTTCTTCCAGAAGGCATTTAGCCGTAAGCCGCCTATAGATTTCTCCGATGGCGATCGGTCGGACGCCACCATTCGGCTTAGGTACGGCGACCACCGGCCACTACGGGAGCGACTGCGGCGCAAGCTTGCCCTCGAGCAAGCAGAGTTGTCACCTGTGCTATAACGTGTGGTGAAAGCTGTCCAGATGCCCAGGCAGAGCTGCATCGAGCAGGTGCTGGGCTCTCAGGCCCGTGGGTCCTGGCGAGGTGCCAGAGTGAAAGCTCCGCAACGCGCGGGCCACCACTTCAGGGCCTATTTCCGCACAGGCGGGAGGTGCTGCAGGTCAGGTTGGTGCGGCACAGGTTGCGCCGGGTGGAGGGCTTTGAGGGAGTCAAGAGTGGCAGCCGTTTCTGCACACAGGCCTTCCGACAACAGGGCCGCACATGCCTTGCCGTCCCAGCCTTCTCGTGCAAAGGCGACCGCCATCTCTCGTCGTTGCTGGGGAGTACGTCGCCCTCGTCGTGGTGGCGGTGGGGTGTGGCGACTGCTCCAAAGAGCCATCCTCTCTCCTTTGTGCCATCGCTGCAGCCTGTCCAGCGTGTAAGCAGCCAGCGCCTTCTTGTGCTTCTTGCCTCCCGGGGCAGAGCGTCCAGCACAGTTTGCGGCAGCATCAGGAGTTCCTGCCAAGCTGCTTCTGTGTTGTTGTGTTGGACTGCGGACAGGGCTGGGGTGAGGGCTTTCCCCCAAGAGTGCCGGGCAGCTGCCGGGACTCGACGCAGCGTAGGAGTGGCCCCGCCTTGGATGGCCATGAAGGGAGACGGCCGTTCGCCCCATGCGCTTCTGCTCGCCCAGCTGCTGATGCCCGTGCCTCCGGCCGGCATGTCGGGTGGATGCCGTACCGTGTCGAAACACTGAGCCCACATACCCTGCAGCGCTGTCGTTGCTGTTGCTGCATCCAGGTGGTGGGGACGTGTCCGGCCAGAGTGTGAGCCAAGTGGGCGTCAATGTGGCTTTGCATGGAGAAAACGGACCGCCAGCCACGTGCCCGCAAGGGGTCGGAGCATGGGCAGCCAGGGACGGGCGCTCCCCCCAAACCGGCGTGCTGCCGCTTCCCCCACTCGGATTCCACGGAGTGGCCACCCTTTCCACCGGGGGTTCCTGGTGATGAGACGCCCCCGCCGGCGGCGCCAAACAACTGCGGCCGGGCGCCAAACTCCCTGCTGGATGCATGGCTGGGTGCATGGTTTGCCCCAAAGTTGGTGAAGTTCCTTAGTCAAGGCCGCCCGTTGTCGTCGATTGCACCCTGCCGGCGGCCGGTCGGTTGAACGCGGCTGGGAGGGGCTCAAGGCGGGTGGCTCCCAGCTCAGATGGCCCAGGCAGCCAGTGGCCAGGAAGGCCACAGGGACCAAGGCCCATACACTGCGGAGGCGCAGAGCCATGCCCCTACCCGCCCAGGGGCACCACATCACCCCGCCAGGAGAGTACAGCGGTCAGACTGACAGTCCCCCCCTGTCCGGGCGCGTGGTGCCGCTGGGGAGGGTGAGTCGGGTGAGACTTGGAGAACTGGCAAGGATCAAATGGTGAGACTGACCCCACTGGCCTTGAGTGCCTCAGCAAGAACAGGTGCGCACGGCCACGCAGGTCATCTAACAACTACAATAGTCCCGCTGCCGCGTCTGGTGGCCTAACCAGCTAAC